GAGTCAAGACCAGCATTGGGGCATGGTCAGGTAATCTAGATTTCTCTGTCATTCCTTTGGATGATTACAAAGCTGTCTTGGGAATGAACTTCTTAGAACAAGCAAGAGCATTCCCAATGCCATTTGCCAATAGCCTGTGCATCACGGAAGGGAGTCTAGCTTGCTCAATATAGATAATAAGGTTAAGCAAGCAAGGATCCAAAATGTTATCGACAATCCAGTTCAGGGATGACATTTCACAGGACAAGGAGGACAACTTGGCTATTCTTCATAACAATGAAGGAGAAAAGTCCCAAAGAGTTGGGATGCCAAGGAACGTGGTGGAGGCAAGAGATAAGCCGCCAGTCAGGAAGACGTGTTGCACCCAGGAGAAGCCAAAGATTGCCAAGTATAGGGGCAAATCGAAGAGGCAGTTTCGAAGGTGCAGGGGAAGCCACAATGAGGGCATTGCGGGTTTAAGTGGGGGAGAGTGTCACGCTCCGCCATATTCGAGAAATCGTCAAGACGAGCACAAGCAAACCCCACCATAGTCGAGAAATCGTCAAGACGAGCACAAGATGGAAGATTCTAGAGAATGTCAGAATATAGAGAGTCATCAAAGGGGCTCTAGAAGATTCCACCACATTCAGGAGAGAACAAGAAGGAAAAGCTCTAAAGAAAATCTAAGAATAACCTAGAAGGTTCTAGAGTTATGTATGTACATAAGAATAGTCTAAGAGATAGAATATTATATTGTAATCTAGAAGCTTCTCTTGGACATGGAATAGTCCCACATTGGCTAGATGAAAGGCCAAAGACATGGAGGAGAGCTCCTCCCCTCATTTGTAATTACCCAAGCATTGAATCAAAGCATTCTCGTATTCAAGTGCTAATTATTTTTTTCTCTCTATTATTCTTTTAAGAGTGCTTGGGGCTCATAAGTTCAGTGTTGTGAGGGGTAAGGCTGATTTAGTGCTAAGAAAGAGCGCTAAAGCCGCACGGGTGACTTGAGGAAAGTTAGTCCGTGACATTAAGCTCGACCTGCTAGAGTACAAGGGTAGCTCAAAAAGTAAGCAATTTATATACTATAGTTTGAGTGAAAAAAATGTTGATGCATAGGAGTTTCATTGGTGAAGAATAAGGCAGCTAAATCAATTAATTTTAATATAACAATTATAAGGGGCATTCACATACCACCCAATTCCTATGTATTTACATATCAAACACCTAAACTTCACTTTTTATATTTATACCACCCAAATCTTTCAAATCACATAAAAAATCCCACCATTTTAACTTTTAAAAAGTGAAATGCACTTATTCTTGCATGGAGAAGTATAGGAGTTAGATGTGTGTACATAAAAAATTGAGTGGTATGTATGTAAATCTTTCCAATTATAATTGTCTTATGGTGTTCTATAACATGAATGTAACACACTACAATTCCGTGGACTATTCACAGATTTTCCTATCCTATCAAAATGATTCAGACTTCCCGACTCCGTTGTGCTCATCTTGTTGGGCCAATTGTAGAAGTAATTGATAAATAATTAATTCTAGATTAGCGGGCATCCTCGCGATCAATATCATTATCATTGTCATCTAAGAATCTCCAACAACAACCAAACAAAAAAAAAAGGAAAAAGAAAAAAGAAAAAAGAGAGGGAATCTCCAAAAATGTATAACTTGCAAATCAGCTGTGCCTCACACAATTTGGTATAAAGCCACATTTGAGGTCCTCAAGTCTTGATTTTTAATATCAACCTCAATTCTGCAAATTATCTCTAGATTAACACATTAAGACATTCCATATCTAGAAATGTGTGCAGAATAATCCATTAAATTACCACAATGTTAAAAAAGATTTATCCAACATTTAAACTTTCCACTTATTTTCATAGGTGCAACAAAAGATGATATAGTAAAATAATGTGAATTCTCGTATTGCAAACTTCATCAATTTTTTAACAGATATTAGATGCTTTTTTTTGTTGTTGTTAGCATAATTTTTTAGCTAAGCGACTATCTTGAGAATGGAGTTATTATGAATAATCTCTTTGATTTATTTTAAATCACTGCCATGACTTCAATTACAGGTATTCCAATTTATTATCGTGTTATTCATACTGTTTTTTATTGATCTATTTTTGAAAAGTTCTTGTTAATTTAGTGTGTGCATTTATGCTTTATTGGCCTTTCTGATGGATGCTATCAGGTCACGCGAATTGTATCTACTGAGTTGAACCAACCATATGATGTTCTTGGGATTAATTGGAAGGCTTCATTTGATAACATTAAGAAAAGGTACGTAAAGCCATCAGTAATCACTTCAGTCATTTTGCTTACACATTTATTATTTACGCTATGTGAACGAATCAACTCTATTTTACCGTCGATTCATTAATTGAAGTATACAAATTCAATTGTAGGAGAAATTGAATTTTCCAATATTGATTGCTTGAGAAGATTTCCTCTGCGATTCCCCGCAAAAAGGATTTAAGAAAAAAAGAACCATATAAATAGCTGAGGAACCACTTAGAAGAATCTCATGTACCATCTTTTTGGATTATTAGAATAAGTTTTAATTTATTGTTTATTTTGAGTGGACATCTGCTATGATATTTTTCAATTGCATTATTTTGCTAGCCGTTTATTTGCATTTCAATATTCCTGTCTCCTTTAATAAGTCAAATACATATTTTTTCTAGGATATGGCAACACATTCTTTGGATCTAGCCTTTTGGATTCCCAAGAAGTATCTTAAAGTTTCATTTTTCTTTGATCTTAAACTTAGAAGCCATTATTCTTTACTTGTTTCAAGTTCCCTTACATCAATGCATATGAGAATAATGCCATCTACATATAACATAAAGATGGTTGTCATACCTTTTGATTTGGTTTTACAAACAGAGTGTGATCTATCTGGCACTAATAATACTCATTAATAAGAGTCTGGTGAATCTTTCAAACTATTCTCTGGGAGATTGTATTAACCCATACAATGATTTTTTTAATTTGCACAACATCTGATTATTTGTTTTGCTCTTCAATCTTGAATATATTTTAATATGCACTTATTTCTCAAGATCCCCATTAAAAATATATTTTTAATGTCCAGCTGATATAAAGGTAATTCTTGGTTGACAACCAATGACAGTAACACTCTTACTGCGTTGAGTTTTTCCACTAGTGTAAATGTGTAATGATAGTCGATCTTATAGGTCTACGTGAAACCTTTTTCTACAATTTTAGCTTTGAGCTTTTCTATGCTTCCATTTGTTTTCTATTTGACAGTGAGTACACATTTACACCCAACAATTTTTTTCTCAGGCGACAGTTTTTATGATCTAGGTACCGTTCTATTCAAGAGCAATAATTTATTCTTTCACAGTTTTTTTTTTCAAGTAGGAATAGATAAGACCTTTTGGATTAAATTTGAGACATGTACATTATCCAAGTACTGAACAAAAGATTTATAAGAGAATGATAATTTTCATAGCTCATAAAATTTTCTATCTAGTGTTTTGTACATTCTTATCCCCCTTCTTGGTGTTCATGATTTGTTGACCTAACCTTTGTGTGAATATTTTGAGTGTGCGGAGTTGATTCTAGTGATTTACATTCATGATTTGGCATATTCTCCCTTACACGCTCACTAATTTTTTTATTTGTGGCGCACACACAAAGTTTTTGGTTCCTTGTGAGAGTTGCGAGAAGATTTAGTGGAGTAGTAGGTTCATTTTAGGCTGATTTGTGATAGTTGGAGCACGAGTGGGTTCGTCAAGGATATAAGGGAGATAGGCTTGAGTTTCCTGAATGGACCTAAAATCTGATATTCTCTCCAACTCTCCTCTGACTGTTAGATTTGGCGTAAATTGATTGTTTTTCAAAGAACGTGACATCCACGGGGTTGTAAAATTTTTTGTTTATGGAGAGTAACATTTAAATCTTTTTTTTTTTAAGAGTTCCCCACAACGGTGCATTTTATTGACCTGGAATCAAGTTTGGTCTGATGTAGTTGATGCAGGTGAAGAAAAGTGATACACCAAAAAATTTTAATGGTAGGTTAGAAGTGAAATACTGAATATTGGGGGTAGGATTTATGAAGGTTTTGAGAGCTTTGTTAAAGTTTAATACTCCGATAGACATTCTATTTATGAGATAAGTGGGCGTGATAATTGCGTCCCCCCATAAGTATATAGGTAAATTGTTAGTGAATAGAATTAAATAAGTCATTTTGAGGAGATGTCTATTCTTTCTCTCAGCCACACCATTTTGTTGGGGTGTGTCAACATAAGAATTTATATGACTGATGTCATTTTTTTAATAGATAAGGGTCGAGCTTGCAGTTGTAGTAGTGTTTTGTATTGTCGGTTTGGAGATATTTAATTTTGCTCCGAAATTGTGCAAGAATCATGTTGTGGAAGGTTTCAAATATGTTGACAATTTTAGATTTTGCCTTCATAAGAGATGTGCAATTGGTTCTAGCGTGATTATAAATGAAGTTAACAAATTATCTAGCCGAGAGCCCGAGGGAAGGAGAGGCTGGCAGCAACAACGGAGGCCTGCAAGTTGGTTAGAGGAATTCCTACGGCTGCAAGGAAAATTTCGGATGTTGGAGAGGCACCGATACGTACTAGCGCTTCTTTCCTTCCTATAATATTATATAGAATTTAGGAGGAACTTTCTTAGATGAAAATTTCTCATTAAGCAAATAACTAATTTATATACAAATCAAGCTAACCCTCTTACAAATAGAGGGAAATTCAAATTATTATGATAAAAAGAAAATTAATAGAATGCAAAAATGGATCATTAAGGGAAAGTAATTCCTCTCGTCTAATGTAATAGCGCAGCCACGGTTTCCCAAATAGTGTGCCATCAACACATGGTTGTCTGGACTCATCCAAGTTATTAATGTATTACTTTTTTTGGAAGATTTACATACATACCACTCTATTGTTATGTATTTACCAATTTTTACATATATGCCACCTCACCTATGCATTAAAAGTTGTATTCCACTTTTTAAAAAGCATTTTTTATGTGTTATGAAAAGTGTGGGTGTTATAAATGTAAAAAACAAAGTTTAGGTGTTCGATATGTAAATACATAAGAATTGGGTTGTATGTATCTAAGTGCCCTTACTTTTTTTATTTGACTTCTTTTCCATTAAACGAAGAGCTAATTGAGAATAAGGAGATTGAAGCCCTAGACTTTGTTTTTTGGATTGACGTAAAATTGAGAACTCATTTCAGGCATGGTTGTCTGAACTCATCCAAGTTATTAATGTATTACTTTTTTTGGAAGATTTACGTGCATGTTATTCTATTGTTATGTATTTACATATAACACCTAAACCAATTTTTACATATATGCCACCTCACCTATGCATTAAAAGTTGTATTCCACTTTTTAAAAAGCATTTTTTATGTGTTATGGAAAGTGTGGGTGTTATAAATGTAAAAAACAAAGTTTAGGTGTTCGATACGTAAATACATAGGAATTGGGTTATATGTTTCTAAACGCCCCTAACTTTTTTATTTGACTTTACGGCGACGTTTTGAAAACGCCCCCGCACTTATAAGCTGCCCCAAACGGACCCTTCGTCTTTTGGATTGACGTAAAATTGAGAACTCAGTTCAGGCTTTTTTTATGGAGTTCTTCGAAACATTCTCCTATGCGATAAAATACCAATCTCTTTTAATATAGCAAACCCTGCCAAGTAAATTAAAGCCTCAAGAGGTCTTGACTCTTATTTTGAGCCACTCTCTTAAATGTTGTCTGACTATGCTTTTTATAAAGTTCCCTACCAAAACAAACTTACCTATGAGCAAAAGTTGTGCTGAATGAAGTCCGTTAAGGGGCTGTTTGTGATCATTTTTGTTTTTCAATTTTTATTTTTATTTTAATTTTTTTTTATGTTTTGATTAAAATTAAAACATTTTCGATCGAGTATTTGTTTTTAAAAATGCAAAATATGTTTGAGATGTTTTGAGTTTTTTTAAAAACAAGTTAATTTGTTTTTAAGAATAAAAAATAAAACATATAAAATATATAACAATCAAACATGTTTTCAAAAATAAAAGGAAAAAAAATGAAAGTAAAAGTGATGCCAAATGAAAATATTATCACTATGGTTTTTATTACTATACCAAATTGTTTCTTTTCATGTAAACTATTTAGAAGGGTTGTGAAGTTCCTTTTGCTCTGATCTCAGGTATTGGAAATTATCTTTGATGGTGCATCCGGATAAATGCTCTCATCCACAGGCTCATCAAGCATTTGTGATACTGAACCAGGCGTTTAAAGATCTACAAGATTCAGAAAAGGTGTGTAATATATATTTTTCTAAATTACACTATGGTTTGTGTTACTGCACCAAATATCATTTTGTTAGGCATTTACATGTATTTTCAAATCTCACACCTGCACTTTCATATTCATAGACATAGCACTAAAATCTTTATCATATAAAAAACATAAAAAATAGCACACATTTTCATGCATAGGTTTAAAGCACCAAGCACTATATATGTAAATATGAAAGCTTATAAAAGAAAAGCTTAACCAAATAAAACCTTACCATGTACTTTTATCGGACAATGACTATTGTGGTACTATAATTGCTTAAGCAACACTTATGTTTATTTAACCTTAGGCTAAGTTTACATGATTCTTTTATTCTCAACTGTTATGAGCTAATCAGCTAATGACACATGCTGATATATTGCTTTACAGAGGAAAGCTGTTGATGATAAGATTAAACTTAAAGAAGAGCAAGAGGCATTCCAGGTGAATACCGTTGTTTATAAATTCTTTTGTTCATATTTAGTGCATTACAAGCTGCAGTTTCTGATTGTAAAAAACGTAGTTATTTCATATTTTAATTCGTTCATTTGAATGTTCTTGAGTTTCATTTATAATCAAAATATAAATTGTAATATGCTATAAAAAATGCATTTTTCCCTTCATCCAATTTTATAACCTCAATATTTGTTATTGTAGATTGTTTCGTTTCATTAATATGAATGAATTGATCATTGTAGGCTGAGTTGAAAGTGCTGCGTGAAGCTGCACAGTGGCGACGCTTGCAAGGTTAGGTACTTTTTGCTTTATACTAAAGATATGGAATATTATTTTCTCCTCGCCCACTCTTCTTGTTGATTAGTCTTTTCTTAATGGAAATTGATTACTATTTTTGTTGTGTAGAGTGCGAAAATAGCCCCCTTACTATCTTGATGGGGTCATTTTAGTCTCAGAGTTTATAAAATTGCTAAATTCGTCCCAGACTGTTTCAATGTGGGCTAAAATAGTCCTCACCGGGGAGTATTTCCACCCATATTAAAAGAGTCTAAGGACTAAATTGACATTTTTATAAACTCTGAATTAAAATAGCCCCTTGCAACGAGTGAGGGGATCATTTTGATAATGTTTTCTATTTTTAATGAAATTAGTAACTTAAATGTGATGGATAAGATTGTGGGGTGAATGTGTGATAAAATTAGGTGGGCTGAATTAAATAATTGCATTAACTGGGTTGTAGGATTAGTACATATAAAGAACTTGGTTGTAGAAAATAAAGTATGGTGGTTTGAGCATGCACGTCTAGGTAAGAAGATGCAATAACAAGTGTAAATATAGAAAGGTGGTGCTTTCTCTATGACAAGAAAAGTTGGTTATTTTTTTCTTGATTGTTATTTTTTCTTTTTATAGTGTTTGTTATCAATGTAAGTAGCTTCGCTTTGAATTTGGTACATTAAAAATAGGAAATTTAGAAACATGCCAGACAATTCTTATGTATTTACCTAATCTTAACAGCTGCAGTTTGATATTTGCACTTATAACACCTTGTTGCCATAAAACTATACATGAAAGGGCATATTTCACTTATAAAAAGATAACAATGGTGGTATTCTTGATGTTATGTTAAAGATTTGAGTGACATGCGTGTAAATATGAATGTTTAAGTGCTATATATATATATACATGAGAATTGTGTAGTATTTATGTATTTGGTACATTAAAAATAATAAAAGCTGATCTAAACTCTCCTGTTATTTGATTCTGACCTAGCTGCATGAATGTGCAGGTATATCCCTTCAAGGTGATGAAGAACTTCTTGCCTTTCCAAGAGAAGAACCCAAAGCCAAAAGGGATGAATGGATGACTGAATTACCACCAGAAAGAAAGGTATTACCATATGTTATGACTGATATTTTATTTTCCATTTCCGTGCAGAATTCAATTCATTTTGTAGTATGGGGCATTTACGAACATACCGCACAATTCCTGTGTATTTACATATCTAGCTCCTAAGGTTTACTTTACATTTTTACCACCAAAATCTTTCATAGCATAAAAAATATAACCATTTTAACTTCTAAAAAGTTAAGTACACTTTTCATGCATAGATAAGGTGGCATGTTTATAAAAATGGAAGTTTAGATGTTAGATATGTAAATATATAGAAATTGAGTGGTATGCATGTAAACATTCCTTCGTTTATTTTTCCTCTACACTGCAGCCTGGGATGCCGGTACAATCCACATCATTTAGCAGGAGTGATAAGGTGGGGCGTGGTGATACCTCCATGTGGACTGATAATCCACTTGATAAATCAAGGCAGGCAAAGCAAAAGTAAGTTTTCTTATTTATCCGTTGAAATTTGAAATTTTGGTATCACAAGGGGCTGTTTGGCTATAGTAGGATTTAGTAAGTTCAATTTTATTAAATTCTGGGAAGATTACATTTTGAAAACTTGTTGGCATAAGAATTACAAAATACTCCTGCTAATATCTGATTAATTGTTTTACTATTTGTTTCATAATTTAAAATTGGAAGATTTACTTGCATACCACACAATTCTTATGTATTTACATATCTAACAACTAAAGTTGTGATTGTGGCTATTTTATATGTAAATATGAATGCTTAGGTGTTATGTATGTTAATACATAAGAATTGTGTGGTATATTTGTAAATGCCCCTTTGAAGTTTATGAGGGAAAATTCTTTAATCTGTTAAACACTATGAATGGTAGGATTTGACAAGAATTGGTTGACTAATAAAGAGGATGAAATGAGATTTATCAAAATAATAGGCTTTAAACTCTCAAATTTTGCTAGAATTATACTTAAATTAGGTAGTTCTGACTGTAAGCAAGAATTAGTAAATCATGTAGATCTAGATTTAAATTTTGAGAGGATTAACATCTGAAAATTTGTTGACATTACAATTGCTAAATCTTGCTAACCTGATAAATCATTGGGGCATTTACATATTACCCCTTAATTCTTATGAATTTTCATATCTAATACTTAAATTTTGTTTTTTACATTGTAAAACCTAAATTTTTTCGTGTCACAGCAAAATACTTAAATTTTGTTTATTACATTCATAGCACTGGAAAATTTATTATTTACAAATTTAGCGCCATATTTCATCCAATCTTCAAATTCTCACTCAAATATTAAAATTCACCATAAAATCAATACCAATGTTTTTCCTTTTTATCAAAATCTCTATTGTTTGTACTAGTTTTGTAAATAGCAAGATTTTGAGTCCTATGCAGGTGATTATTCACACGTGCGCGCATGCCCCACACCACCCACCGATGAGGTGCATGGCGATGTGGTGGTTGGCCGTTCGGACGTATAGTGTCTGGACACAATATTTTCTCCACACACACAAATAGGCTGAAGATTGTTGACATTGTTGTTTGTTGTTGCAGTTATTTAGAAGCGTATAACAAAGCGAAAGAACTCGCCGAAACACACCACCAAGAGAAACCCCAAAGCTCCATCACCGCCGACTTAGTTGACAACTACAACTCAAAAAAGCGCTCAAAATCACTTGTACAGAAACACCAGGAAGAAACCCAAAGGAAGCACAAAAGGAAATCGAAAGATATTGAAAGGGAAGGATGGGAAGGCGTTCATCCATGGAAGCCATGGGACCGAGAGAAGGATTTGTCAGCCGGGCGTCAGAAACTAAGCCTTGATTCAGAATCCATGGTGCAAGGTCTGTCTTCTCGCTTCGCTTCTGGATCTACACAAAGGAATTTCTTGTAGAATTTTGTTCTTTAATTTGATTTCAGAGTTAAATTTTAGGCTTTTATAAAGTTAATTAGTTTTAGGATTTGCTGATTTGGGTCTAGATTTAATTTATCCTGCTTGTTTTATGTGATTATTTATGTTTATCCAGCAAAAATAACCAAAATTTAAAGAGAAACAGAAAGACTATAGATTAGAAACTAAGCTTTATGAATTATAAAAAACTTGGACTTCCAGAAGCAACTTCACTCTTACATACTAGAGACTTCTTAATTTTTTAGCAAACTGGATGCATACTCGTACAACTCTATTTAAACACAGTTAGCAGACATGAAAAACATAAAACATAATACAATAAACAGTAAAATAGTAGATTTTTTTTCCCTGGTGGATTGAAAGCAGAGTCACAAACGCCCCGTTTGGTTTGCACGTTTTTTAAGACGATGTCTGCTGCTTTTAGGTTTTTTATACTAAATGCAGACCGCGGGTCGACTACGGCCCGTGGTCGACCCGTGGGTCGCGTTTTAGGATAAGCTACTTATCCTGAAACACACAAGCTGCCCCAAACACTCTTAATAATGGAGTTAATGGAGATCCTTCTGCACTGGATTGAGTTAGAAACTAGCATTTGATTGATGTTGTAGATTAGTGGTGGGTCCATCATTGAACTTTTTTTTTTTTCTTGATTATTAGTATTTCTTTTTTCTTCGGATGAGTGTCATGTATATCATCTCAATTTTACGATACATCTTCACTAGTCATTGATGTTTTGTTATCTAGATTCATCTTATGTTCTTTTTTAGAAAATAATGTTGCAAGTTGTTTTTGCAACCTCTCTTTAATTTTCTCAGCCGATTCATTAGGAAACTTTCTTCAAAGTAATTTCTTATTTGGAATGATTTTTTTTGGCAAGTTAGAATTCACTTACATGCATAACTTTATTAATTGATATAACTTTTTTCTTCATTGTGAATTGTGCATAGTAAGTTAGAAACACTGTCATTGCCGGTCCCAAGCCTGCATGTGAAAAGTGGAGGGGTTGCGTTAGGTAGTCGACAACCAACATAAAACTTGTCGAAAAAAATCACGGGCTTATTTGTATAAAAATGATCTTAATTTACTAGAACTAAATGAAAATATGACACTAAATAGGACGCAATTGAGAAAAAGGATTCATGTAGCCAACTCCACGTAGTGGGATTAAGGCTTTGTTGTTGTGAATTGTGCATAATTTCTAAATAAATATTTATGATTTAATGAATCATGTTGATGTTTTAGATTCCACAATCAGATCCATGATATTTGGTAGTGTGTAAAATATATAATTCTAAATGACCATCTATTATTGGCAGGAATTTTAGAAATGTACGAAGACGATTCGACCTCCTTAAAATATTTAGATTTAATTGGTGTCAGAAGAATTTGAGTAATAACATCATAATTATCTCACAACTTATAAAACCAGTGTTATATCATTAGATATGCTCTCAAGCATCATAACAAATGTTTAAGAATATTTTCTTCTTGAATTAGTAAATAAATAAACTTTATGCACACTTCAATACAAGTTCATTAATTGAAAGATAGAGTTCATTTCTATGAGTTTGGGGCTTTTGATATTAAATGACTTAAATTTGATATGGAATAAGTCCTCATATCTTATGATTGAGAATATGATTGAGAATATGATGGATAATAATTTATTATAAGCAATTGACTTATTTTCATCATTATAATTATATTGAATTTTGACATATTTTAAGAAGATAAGTATGACTTCATACATATTTCAATTATAAAAGTATTTTTGAAAAAAACATACTATTTTCTAAATATCGTTTTAAGATTGACTAAGGAGAAGTAAGATGATAATCATACCTATTGATATCTGAGATCTGAGATAATGACTGTTTTCGTGAAAATAGATGATTTAGATTAAAATTGAAATATGTTTGACGGACGGTATTAACATTTCATTTTCTTTCAACATATTTTTCAGAAACTTCTAATATATAAAAGTGCTGCTAATAATTTACAAATGCACATAAGAAAATGTAAATCATACAAAAATATCTACGTGTAAAACATTTAAATCTACACAATAATTTCTCATTGTCCAAAAGAAAACAACGCAAAAAGAGATTATAAACGCATTATAACATGATACACATTAAATGTGGTCATCATGTAAACTAAATCTCTCTTGTCAGACATATCAGTATACTGTTTTTTTGCCCTAAAAAATCTATTAATTTCAACAATAAGTTTGACTTGGTGAGCGATTATAACATTAATGTGCATTAAATTATTATGTTAATACTGTGTATGAATGATCAAAAGAAAATGTAGTTTATTACTTTATAAAACTTTGTCTTATTTGGGATCACTTTCTTTTTGATGCTTTGCTTTTGTTAGCAATTTGTTTTATTTTTATTTTGTTTTTTTTGTTTTTTTTAAATACGATTGATAATGTTATGATTTATATATTTTTAAAAATGAAAATATAAAACTTATTTGGTGGTGTATTTTCTATTTTTTTTAAAGAATAAATTATATTTTTATAAAATTTAAGTAGATTTATTATAAATATTTATAATTTTTTAGTTAATTAATTAAATTATTAATTGAAATTAAACAGTTACTCAGTTTTTAATTATTAAGTAAATTAAGGTATAATTAATTAAATAATTATATAATTAAATTTTATAATTATTAATTATATTAATTTAGGCTTATCTGTCTTAATTGAAATTAAATAATTAATAAGTTTATAATAATTAAGGCAATTAATTTAATTTTTTAAATTATTAATAAAAA